CCTGCAGCACGGCCTCACCTGAAGGCACTTCCTGTGCGTGTCTTTTCCTCCAGTCTCGGCGCCCACACTCGCCTCTGCGGGCCACCCAGTGACGTGAATCAGGCATTTTTTACTTACACCGCTGGGAATGTGACGGCACAGCAGTGCTCGAGAAGCCCGTGTGGTGTTTATAAAGTGTTTCTACACTGTCCTGAGTCTAAGCCTTGTCACTGCAGGGCTAGGGCAGGCACTCGGCTACCTTACAGACTTCTCTCCTGCTGCACAGGCGCAGTGCAAGGCGAAGCAAACCTCACTTAGGGAAAACTGTTTCCCCAAATTAGACTTGCGTCCACAGTAATGATATGCCGTTAATATATTTTTAAAAAACCCTCCCTGGTGATGTACAGTTGAGCATTTTGCAGCTCCTCCCTGCTCTGCTCTGTCCTGGTCTGTGTGCACAGATCTGCCAGCCGTCTCACTGAACAATGTCTTCTCTGTTAGAACGGAAACAAGCCGTATCACAAAACCCGCTCTGATGTTCAGCCTCCAGCCCCACCAGCCCCCTCCAGAAAGGACAGCCAGGCTGAGCAGGAAGGCCCCCCCCATCTGAAATCGCCTTCTTCAAGCCAGAGGCCCGTCATGGCAACTGTGTGTCAACTGCCAATCAGGGAAAGTGGACAAGTTTCTTTTCCTTTAAATTGGAGCATATATTTTTGCATTTCTGTGCGTGTGTGTGTGTGTGGGTGTGTGTGTGTGTGTGCGTGTGCTCAGAGAGCTTTATCAGGAGGAAGGAGGCGTTTCATCAGATATAATTCAGGGCTGAGCAAGAGCAGCTTTTAGCTCCAGACTGAGCAGCCCCAGGGGGACGTCACAGAAATGACACAGCAATTTGTGCGAGGATATTGGCAGCTAATTCACGAACACTGGAGCTGACTCTGAATTCAGCTGCTTCTGTTCAGCCTTTATTCCCGCTGAGCTCACGATTCATAGAGGAAGCGCCTGCAGTTACTCCTCCAAAGCGTACAGTGTGACGCTCACAGGCTTCTCTCTGGTGTGTCTGCCTGTCTGTCTGCCACACACACACATACACACACACACACCTCTCCCCCTCTCCCCCTCTCCCCACTTCCAAACCATAAACTTCATGGAGCATTTGTTACCGACCAATGAAAGGTGTTTTTGTTATAGAAAAACACGGATCTCTTTCACATCTTTCATATTTGCACGTATTAGTTGGTGTAAAATATTAATGATTCACGGTTTTCCCCCTTGCGACGTGACTACAGCATATATTTTATCTTAACCTCTAAAGGGAATCACCTCACTCTTGGCTCATAAAAGACAAAATGCTATTTTTATAATCAAACCACACTGGCTTTGTTTTCATGGATATCTGAGAAAGCATCCCCTTCGCTCCCTTTTCCCACACAGTTCCAGTCTAGCTCAGCGAATGCCCAGATTCTCATGGGGTTCTCCTGGTAACAGTGCAGGGCACCCCAACAGCTCCGCTTTCTCCCCTCCATCGTCTCGCTCTCCTCCCACTCGGGGTTCCCATTGAACTAAACAACAGAGCCTTTGTGCGGTCCCACTGCAACCGGCCAGTTCTAACGACGAGCCCGCTTACTGGTACAAGGGTAATATTTACCTTGGAGGAAACTTTGTCCAAGTAACTATTCACAACTCTGGCAAAGCTGTCCCTCTGAAACGCTGCGGCGAGGGTTCTCTCTTCCTCCTTGGCCTACAACCAAAGAGAAAAAAAAGCTGCTGATGGGTAAAGAATGTGAAAGATACTTGTCCCTTTCATTGTAAAAACCTTAGCAAATTTATGCCAAATGCTGAGCTGCAGAGCCAAGGCTAAACTACTAAGAGCAGTGAATCAAAAGTTTTTCCCCAAATCACAGCCAAGTCAGTATCATCAAGTACACATCAATTACTTGCTCCCTCCATATGTTTCCTAGTTTTATGACAAAGAAATCTATGTGCTTTTGTAGTAATATCAAAATTCAAGGAACTGTTATCTGAATCTGAAGAGCATGCTTTATGCTTTGGGGGGAGGCAAGCTGTGATCGCATTGTGAAATGTCTTATTAAAAGGAGAGTCTCGGGCGCAGCATGAGAGGCGTGACCTGCAGGACACACAGATCTCTTAGAGTCCTGAGATGTTCCTTCATCCATTCCACTGAGGAAATGGGGAAAATGTGAGAAATGGGGGAGACGCAGGGACGTCTTCCCTTCATCTCCCTCCTGACTCGATGGTGACCCTGGGTCCCACCTATCATCCGTGGCTCTGCTCTGTTTTCAGTGCCCAGCCTTTCCTCTCCAGTCCTCGTCCTGTCCTCTAATGAATATGTCTTGCATTGAACCTCTGCTTTAGGTAAGACACCATGGTAGGCGAGAGGGAAGAGTGGGGAAGGGTAGGTGGAATGAATGAATCAATGAATGAATGCTTTATATTCTAAGGAGAACATCCTGGCTGTTGACTAAGATTCAGAACTTCTCAATTATTTTAACAGACTGAGGTACACCTCCAGGTCTGCAATATAAAATACCGAGGAGCACATGGGCCTGCTAGATGCACATCTGTGATGCTCTTTCCCTCGGACCACAGATGGTCATCTCAGACCAAGCTCTGCCCTCTTGCAGGGTCAGCAGATTATTCTCATTATCTTGAAATTCCTCTACTGCCTCCCTGACGGTTACCAGGCGAGAAATGACTCCCTTGTTGGCTGATGTGTTCAGCTACATTATTATTTTCTGTTTTGGTTTTTAATAAGTCTAAAAATATCAGAACAAGATACACAACTCCAGGTCTTTCCACTGTCAGCCATGCAAACTAAATGGGCAGAGAGACAGAAAGTAAACCAGTGGTTGCCTGGGTTTGGGGACAATGAAGAAGATCGCTAAGGAGACAGGGTTTCTTTTTGAGGTAATGGACATGTTCTAAATCTGATTGTGGAGACAGCTGCATAACTGTGAATGTACTAAAAAACATTACACTGTACACTTTAAATAGGTGAATTGTACGGTATGTGAATTATATTGCAATAAAGCTGTTACAAAAAATAACTCCATGGCATGTGAACATTTTCGTGTCAGTCATTTTGCATAAAACTTTTAAAGAAAGATGGCAAACCCAAGTGTAATCTTAGCTGGAATCGCTGGGGTCGTTGCAACGACTTAGGATCCCCAGGCGCCACCGCAAACGGTCGCGTTCTGACGGAGGTCACCTGGATCTAATTCTGCATGGACCAAGGGCTCCTTCAGGTCCCCTTTCATCCATGACTGTCTTTAAGTGTGGACAGCAGCTAATCAGCACAAAAGATTATTGATCCAATCAAATAGAAATCTTATGCTTTCGATGTTGGTTTCTTTCTCTACTGAATGGAATGTTGGGACTTCTGAAAGCAGGTATCTAGTCAAGTGTGACTGCCCCCCACTGGGTATACTAAGCCAGTGGGATGCCAAGCTCAGCACTACTTTTTTTCACACCCATTTTTTGACTGACAGTTTTCATGAGGACTGTTAGCAGGTTCTTAACAAGGAAGATGACATTCATAAAGAGGCTCAAACAAGTGAACGCTGATAATTCATGTTGCATTTTGCCAACTAACCTGAAGGCTTATTCTAGTGAAAGTCACTCAGAGGAACTGAAATAGAGTTCAATTTCTTGGTCACTGGGCCCCTGAGGAATGGGATATGCACCTGACAGATGGGCTGGCCCAAGCTCCAGCTGGAATGGCTGGGGAAAGGCCCCGGGAGAGGAGTGCTGTTTCAAAGTCATGTGTTACTGTCCTTTCTGGGGAAGCAGTCCTGACATCCCTGCTCTCTGGGGAGATAAATACAGGGACTTGGTAGCACAGACTCCAAATTCATGTTTGACTTTTAAAAACCATACTTGAGGGCAAGATATCCACTTAATACGAGACTAGAATCATGAAGCTCACTTCACGATTCCCAAATTTCAAAGAAATTTACAGGTGGTCTACAAATTAACCCCATTTGATACTTGAACCCTCTCTACAGCATCTGTGACATCCGGTTTACAAGGGCAATGTCAAGAGGACTTGGTTCAACATAAGCTAACAGTACTGAGCACTGAATGGATCACAGGGCCTAACACGTAATAGGAACTCAATATTTATTTGCTGATGGAGTGAATTAATTTTAAAAAATTAGAGTAGTCTCCAGGATATTGTTATAATGAAGCTGTTCTCACTGGCAGTCCCTGAAGACAGAGAAAGTAATAGAATTACAGGTTGCTCACGGTCGGTATATTACCACAGCAATACAACACACATTCAAATGCTATCCCAATAAACACTTTCTTTTATCCATGTTGCTGTGGAAACAAACCAGTAAACAAAACTGAGACCTTGAAGGGCACCCAGAAGGAAGTGCTGTTAGATCTGGGTTCGGGGTCAGGAAGGCTTTTCTGTACCCTAGGGGCTTGGTGGTATCAACCTAGTTCAAGTCCTGGTTCTAACTTCTAGAGCCATGCAGAACAAGGCTGATAGTTTCCTTACATGGCAACCTTTCAAATACTTGAAGACACCTATTTAAAGAAGTCACTTTTTTGTTTCAAAGGATATGGTCTTGGCTATCACCTACCGTAACTCAAAGGAGCACAAAGACTGTAAGAACGGAGCTGGGTCTGGCCAGGCCCACTCACAAGAGCACAGCAGGTAGAGAGTGTGTTCCAGCTACAAAGCCCAACGTAGGGACCAAGCACAGCACCCACTGGACAAAGGTCACCTCGACTTGATGTAGGAAACAGTCTTCACCTGGGTTTTGGTGATGGTGGCCAGGAATTCTCAGGGCAACAGCTATCATAGGAAGGCAAAGCTGTCAGCCGGGAGCAATGAGCTGGTGAGGTCAGAACAGTGGTCCACCACCATCCCGGAGGTCTAGTCAGAGCAGTGGAATCTGGCCACCGGGCAGTGGCTCAGGGTAAGAGCCACAGTTCTCGAGAAGACCTCCTGGCAAGGCCAACACAGATCATGGTACCAAAGGAGATACTCAGCCCAGACAGTTAGACACACAGGAAGAGAAAGAGCTGAAATATGGAAGGTCAAAGAGTAAGTATCCCTGGAAGTCATCCCTGAGATATTAGATTCTGCACCTGTATGGCGACAGAGGCCACTGGGATGCAGTGGAGGCCACCCCAGTGGACAGCACTGAGCAAGACCCCTCTCAGCAGGGAGATGAAAACTTGGCGAATGAGTCCAGCCAGCAGTGAGCAAGACCCTGCTGTAGGCAATGCACAGAGAACGTCAGGGGCCCGTCCCACTGGACTGGGGGAAGCTTCAGCCCCTCAAATATTTCCTGCTTCAGTGAGAATGAATTCCGACTCAGGGAGGGCAGGATGATGGTGTGAGAGGAACACATGGGGGGCCGGGAGAGGCACGATGGGGCTGGCACGCCTGCCGGGGGGTGGTTCTCTTCCCAGGACCAAGCTCAAAGGCATTTCTCCAAATGCAGCTCTTTCCTCGCGGAGAGCAGAGCAGGACGCTCTCTTCAGTCCAGATATTACTTTTGTTTCGAAAGCCTGAGATCACAGAAGCGTTTCCCACCAGCTACATCACACTGTTGCCACCCACGAATCTTATACTCGACTAACAGAAACCTAAATGTCTCCCGTAAGTGATGAAGCTTGGCCGCCTCTCTCCTCACTGCTTTCTGGCGATTTAATTGGTGGTGGTGGTGCTCACATCAGCCCTGTGCCTCTTAGAGCTGGGTCACTGCATTAAATGTCAAGATGTTCTTGAACTTTGTTTCTCTCCTGTGTTAGTACATCAGCCACCTCTCCCAGTCTTGGGCCGCAATGTATTTTCCCCAAATGAGGTCTAATGTTGACCAGGACAGGATTAAACTCACCTGCTGGAAAACTTCTTATTAATCAGTTCCCTCTGGATATGCTTACCAACCCAGTTATTAATCCAGCTCGTTACACACAACCCCTATTTGTCCAAATGATAAATGTTAGCAATTCAATACCCTTATGGTAACAAAAATCAAACATAGCTATAAACTAACGCATATGGTTTCTTGTTAACCCATCTGAATTCTAGAATGGGTTAAATAAATTGTCAATACAACAGAGATTAACCTCAAAGACGAGACATTTCCTTCCATTAAAATTTCAATATTCAGCCCTTTAAAGTAATCATACAAGAAAATGGTGCTAAATATACTCAGTGGTACCTCAGTGAGACAATGCGCATGGGCCAGGTAACATGGAAAAGCGTAACTCAGGACACTTCCTCCCCTTGTCCTGGCGTTCTTGTGCCGCTTGGGCTGCACATCTCTCCCTGCTTAGCTCCCTTGTAGTTCCCTCGTGTCCCCCATCCCCAGCTGCTGTTGCTCACACCCGGCCTTCCCTGTGTTTCCTGTGTTAACAGACCTTCCTGACACCGTGCCTCCTGCTTCATCTCTCGCAGCTCCCACAGCTGCAACCCTGGTGTACAGAAAGCAACAGTCCGTTAAGAAAGGAGTGTTTTCTGGGGTTTTGTTTTTTCTTTAATAGGAACAGAAACATGGAAGAGGCAAGAAAGGACCGTTCCCAGGGGTGCCAAGGAGAGGCCACTATGAAGATAAAATGAAGGGGGGAAAAAATTAAGCATCAAAAAGATTCCGACCCTGGGAAAAATAATTGCTCTGAAAGTCCTTTTCGGTGGTGCAGTCGAGTGAAAAGAATCCCCTTTCCAAGAAGAACGTATTTTTATTGAGAGCAGGAGCAGCT